CCAACCACACTTACCACCACTAAGACCTATCCACGCCCATGATTACCACAAAATTAAACCAGATGTCCGAACCATATTCAAACTGAACTTAGAAGGCGACATAACCTAGCCTAATAGCAACAACGACCGCCAGAATCTAAGAGTCCGAGCACCAAAAATCAACGGCGAAGCATGGAGGCGGAGCAACAGGAAATACAGAGCGGGGCGGGTGGATGGGTGGGGGAATGGGGGATGCGCTACTCAACTTCGACTCAGAAATTAGAAGCCGACCTTAATCTAACCTAATAGGAACAACAATCTACCAGATTCGACGGCTCCAACCTAAATCAATGGCGGACCAGAGCGGCGGAGCAAAAAGAGAAGGAAAACAGGGCGCGGGGAATGCGTTCCTCACCGTATCCACCAGTCGCCGTCCGCCGCGAACCGGAACACGCCACCAGCAGCAACCGTCGCGCACGAGGGGGAGGGGAGCGAGAGGAGATTCGAATGGAGAGGCCAGAATCAGAGGAAGAAGAAGTAGTGCGGGCGAACGCGAGAGGGGGCGAGTGGGGATCGTGGCATTGGGCGATATGGGCGGTTCCAGTGGACCCACTAGTCAGCGACACACATCGATGGTAACGGCTACCGCCACCCGCGCTGCGCGCACCAGGAGCGACGCGGTCCGTTGGATCCGGATCGGACGGCTGTCAAGTCGTGCGGATTTGAAGCAAATAAACAGTCGACTGGTGGATAGATTAGTCGATTAGCGAATAGAGAAGCTCGGCTGTTTTCTATGATGCCATGTTCTCTCGAACATGAATAGCATATTCGTCAATGTTAAACTATCAAGTGAGCTCGGAAGAGCTCGCTTCTGGCTCAATTCTTTTTCCTGACTTCATAATGTAAAAGGAATTCGAACTATTACTATAAAAGGTTCAAACTAGTTTGGGAGCACAAAATCCACCCTTGTTGGTTATGCAATGTTTGCACGAATTTAAACAAACAGAGAACATATAACGCACACGCACACACTCACCCTCGGTCGGCGCGCATCTTCTCTTGCCGTTGTTTCCTGCCATTGTTTCTCCCGCTGATTTTTCCTTCTCAAAGCTGGCTAGAGCAGTCTTTGTAGAGTATCTAAGTGCTTGGTTCTCCTAGTGGCCGAATTCAATGTTTTGACCTTTTTTTTTCTTCTAAACTTAAGCATGATCGGACCCTCCTTTGAATTTTTTTTCCGGATTTGACATTTTTTCCCCCTACCGCTACTGACTCTTACAGTAGGGTTTAACTATCTACCATCACGGTCAATAGCGGAAGATCAACAACTAAACAGCGTTTATACGCGACCTACCGCCGCAGCGCTAATGCATGTGCTAATCATCCCAGCATAGGGATGAACGTGTGCACCAGTTAGCCTGCTATCGAACAAACAATCCTGCACTTGCACTCGACTGACAACAATCCTGCACTAGTACACTATGAGATAAATGGTACATGCATTAGTCAAATGCATGCACATAAAGCTATAATCAAAAGATCAACTGTTTCCCTTCCTATATCATGCACTTAAGAAAAAAGAAAGTCTTCAACAATCAAAAAATAATTATATGGGTTAGTCATGATAGGACGGAAAGAAAGAAATTAAGTACATTTCGTTGGCTTGAAAGCTAGCATATTTCAAAATATTTTAAGATATTCAATATGGTTAATATCATATATTGATTGATTTTAATATGATGGTGGCTAGAAACAAAATATTAAGTGTTTTAGTATGATGGGTTAGTCATGATTTTAATATAAGAGTTTTAATATATAAAAAATGTTGCTAGAAACAAAATGTTAAAACTTGGATTTAAATCGGCTCTAAAGGTGACGAGTGGCATTTGCAGCGTGGTGGATTTCATGCAAATACTGCGGATTTCATTAAAGTTTGGATATAATTTACATAAAACGGACAATATTTCGACCGTTTAAGTAAAAACTACTTAAAAACCTAAACCCTATACTGGACACCTCGTACACGTGGCCACCCTGTCATGCCGCACCGTCGTTGCTGTCCATGCCATCGTCGTCGCTGTCCATGTCGTCGTTGTCGTCCTTCCGGCGCATATCGTGGGAACGGATCTGATAGTAGAGGTAGGGGTACGTAGAAGAGGGCAGAGCCTAGCTACGGCGAAGTTGTACACTCGGATTTACGAGTTCAGGCCCCTCTCGGAGGAGGTAACAGATGTCTCGGTGCCGCGGAGGGTTTGTATTGATTGGAGTGTTGAGTTACAGGGGGTGCGAACCCTTGTGCAAGAGAGGAGGGGTGGCTTATATAGAGTACGCCGACCCCTCTTAGTCCGCAGTTACGCAAGGGTTCAATGAGAGGATAAATGCACAAACGTTACTGGTAACGCCCGTGTTTAATGATCTTTACAACGACGGAGTGATTGCCCGACTGTTGCCATCCTGGGGTGGTTCTAGGTCTTCTGTCCACCGAGTGAACGACCGTGGTCGAGTGAAATAAGGAGTAACCGAGTGGATATTCCTGTCGAGTGACTTGCATGTCGTGGTTATTCCAGTCAGAATCTCCTTTCCAACTTTACAGATCTTGGAGTCCTTGTGCAGTGTCCTTGGATAGGGCATCTAGGTCAGGCCTGAGACCCTACCCTAGGTTCATGTCATCGTCATTGGCCCCCGAATGGATCGGAGTTTGAGTGAGAAAGGGCCGAAACTAATTCAGACCAGACTTGGTGTCTCGGAGACATTTCTCAGAGGCTTGTAGATACATGAGTTGATATACCCTTTGTCAATCGCCTCGATCGATTCTGGCTTGTTAATTGTCCGAGTGAGATAAGTTGCGAGCTGTAGAGTGCCGTATCTGACCCAAATAGATGTGAGTATCTCTGGTGCAGTCAATTGCTCTGCCAGATCCCGGATTTCTCGGGATTCGAAATTTTGGAGAAATGCGCGGGCCGGTTGCAGCGTGGTAAGTGGAGCAAGTGGGGAGGGGCTCCTCGATTGGCTCTTGCTGCTTCTTTCAAGAATTTTTGAGGGTTCTCATGATTTTCTGGACAGTATTCTGGATTTTTTTTGTGTGTGTGTGTGTGAAGCATTGACAAATGTTTTTGTAGCTTGCAAAATTTCATCACGAAATGACACTCATGGAAAATGTGGGAAAAAATTGATGATCCAAAATGCGTTTAAAAATAACATTTTGGAGCATTGATTTTTTTTTCACGTTTTCCACGGATGACATATGGTGATGAAATTTTGCAAGCTAACATATATTTTGTCAATGTTTCACACCAAAAAATCAGATTTTTTTTTTGAATTTTGCAAGCTACTTCCTTCGTCTGATAATATAAGAGCGTTTTTGACACTACCATAGTGTCAAAAATGCTCTTATATTATGGGATGGAGAGAGTAACAAATTGGTGAAGAAACCCAGGGCCTCTTTGATTCACATGATTCTAAAGATACATGAATATGAAAAGTATAGGATTAGAGTGGCATGTCCACTTAAATCCTAGTGTAAGAATACCAAGGAGTGTTTGATGCAAGAGGAAAAATAAAGAAATTGTAAAAAGAGGTTGGAGTGGATGTTAGATTTTCTATGAAATGTAGTATAAAAGATTTCATAGGAAAAATCCCTATGAAATCCAATGCTACGAATCAAAGCACAAACGTAAGCAAACTTTCTAAGGATTTCAACTTTCCAAAAATTCTATAAAATTCCTTTAAATCAAAGGAAGCACTTGATGTCCGGACGAGACGCTTACCACACGTATGAACATGATAGATGCAAATCATGCACATTCTATCCTGCATTAATACCTACAGTAGCACACACAAGAGTGTTACTCTTTTTAGGGCCACAACAGTGTTACTGATATGCACTGTAAACAGAAAGGCAGTTTTTGGTTCCAAAAACTACTTGTTAGGTCGACAGACTGGCTAATCCTACAATTAAACTCATAAACGAACTAGCTGCTACTTAATCGAGGATCGTCAGTGCAGGCAAGCGAATACTACACCCAACACAGCAAAATAAGTTACTCTATTCACCATCACTAGATTCTTCGTCACATATTACTCCAGGTCGTCAACCTTCTCATCGCTTTCATCTTCCTCGATGTTGAAGTCATTGCTACCGAGGTACATGCAGTCCTCGTCGAGTCCGTCGTGCACCCACTTGGCAACATACTCACTGTGCTTTAAGATTTGATGGTTGGTGTAGGGCTCGATGTCGCCCTCCGGATAGTAGTCATTATTGTACAGATTTCCTCCGCGGACCATCTTCTCGAACTCTGCCTCGTGCCCATGGAATCTCTCCAAGGCCGGGTGCACAATCCTGATTCCTTGATGCTCGCAGAAAAGGCAGCGGACTAGTCCTGCTGTACAAAGATGCACAAGATGAAGCACACAGTAAGGAGGTTAAATTATGATGAATCTGCATACGCTTAATTTTTCCAAGATTTTTTAGTAGGAATTTCGCTCTAGTTTGGACAGTTATGCTGATGAATTGACTGTGCTTATACGTACGCGTGCAAAAGTCTACTTTTCAGTTGCTCAGGCTAAACAGGCAGTAACAGACTCGTGGTCCTTCAGAATGTTTGTAACGATATGATCATACAAATTAGGAAATCTACTTAATCAATTCAACGATTACAACCAGATTCGATTGTGGTTTGTAAACTATCAACTTCCTAGTGAATGTAACCATCTACATATCATCTACGGTACACATGGATGGCAGCGCATGACATGAGCAAGAACTACTATTTATTAAGAACCATATCCAAATGATGAAAAAAAAGGAACCTTAAACAAAGGGGAAGGAACGTGTGTATATACCAGCACCTGGTGGTGGCAAATCCACGGGGCAACACAGAAGCTGGCTATCCTGGTCGTCATCGTGGTTACTAAGCTCGCAAAGAAGAGTACAGGAGCTGAAACTATGCCGGCAACATTTCGAGTCGCCAGAAAGTTGGCATGGGTGCGATGGTAGTAGTCATCATTAGGATCAAGTCCTGGCTTCAAACCCGAGCCTTCGCAGTTGTCAGGACCTGACACACATTCATTCACACCACACACCACATGAAGCTGATAAGAGTGTCCCTATAAGATTGCAAAAGGCAAGCGAATCAGCGAGTGAGTGTAAAGTAGAACTAAGGGAAGATCAATATCCCCTCTTTCCAGACCACTACTTGTTTGAACATTATTCTAGAGCACATCCTAATCAAACTTGATCTCATAGCACTACTTGTTTGAACATTATTCTAGAGCTCCAGATGATAATGCTTGTCCTTTGCGTAGGAATTAACTCAATCATTAGGATCTTACCCAATAACTTGGAGGATCGGTGCGAAACTAAAAAGTGGGCCTGATAGCTATTAAAAAGGCAATTACAGGGAAAACATGTTTCTATCCCTAGCTGTCTTTATTGTTCAATCAGAAGTAGGGCACCAACAATTTTTATTTCGAAATACTTATCTTCGTCGATGCAACAGTAACTGAAAAACTTACCAAATTGTATTGCAAAAGAGCCCAGTTGTTCCAAAATATTTGAAAAATCAATGGGTCATATACGCAGTTTCATTTGGAATAAAAATCTCCGAGTATCTTTTACTATACGCACAACTCTTTATCAGAATTATTTTTACCCATAATGAGTGCAGTCACAGTAGAAGAAGAATGGAAGCTCTTTATCAGAATTCTTTTTACCCATAATGAGCGCAGTCACAGTAGAAGAAGAATGCAAGCTCTTTATCAGAATTCTTTTTACCCATAATGAGTGCAGTCACAGTAGAAGAAGAATGCAAGCTCTTTATCAGAATTCTTTTTACCCATAATGAGTGCAGTCACAGTAGAAGAAGAATGCAAGCTCTTACTATCAGCCGATGAGCAACGGGGTAGTGTGGTGCATGAGTAGTAAATGAAAAACCAAAAGATTGCTATGCATGACTAGTAGTGTGGTGCATGACTGAGAGGGATGCGTATGCAGCAGTGCAGATTCCCAGGAAGAAGTAAATGGTATATTCTTTATTGCCTTGACAATTCCCAGCTAATGTAATGATTAACACTATGAAGTAGAGTATAAGACTAACAGCCTCTAAAAACTGAAAGTAAAACTAATAGTAGTATATGGTACTTAAGGAAAAAAACTGGGGCCCCAAAATTTTGGGGACCTGCCAGAAGGGGGGCCGTCAATCGTGCAGTGAAGCAAACTTCTTGGGCTTGTCCAAAGTTTGTTTACATGTGGCAACTATTCAGCAGGATTATAAAGAAGAAAATATGAACTTTCACAAGATGAACTGCAGGGCTTTCAGTCAGTCTGATAATGAATCGAGGGAGGTCGATAGGTAGCAGGTTCCATTAGCTGTTTATGTAGGTTTTTGGTTGATATCATTTGGTTAAAAATAAATATAGAGGCATCAAAGGGATAAACTAACTCACTGTATTCTGCTTCTCATATCTCCTTAGTGCAGCCTTGACCTTTGCGGAGATCCTTCTATGAGCCCTTCGCTGTTTACGTCCCTCAGACATGGTAAAATGGAACTGTCGTTCAGAAACGGGAGCTGGCCTCTGCTGATGGGTTGGGACACCAACAATGGAATGGTATTCAGAGCACAATAGCGTGAGTAGCTGGTGGACACACTGAGAGGAGAGCTGATACTGGCCTCCATCTTGTAGCAGTGACAGGACATGAGGCGCTACCAACATCGCCTTTAATGAACTGAGGAATCCTGCTTGGGCGTCGGGTCTGGGGTGCCATGCCGCAATGGCAGCAGCCCGGTAGGCTTCTTGTTCTTCCTTGACACTGCTGCAGTGCTTTGTCGCGGACAAATTGAGTGCCGTGTCGAGCAGGAACCTTATGGCCTGATCGGTGTCGAGATCTTGGTAACAGGTGCAGAGGAAGGAGACAAGTCCGTAGAAGGATCGTGCTTCAATCCGCATAAGGCACAATGTGCCGACAATGTCGAGCTCGTCTTGCTGACTCAGTGGTGGGAAGGTGGCTTGGTACCAGATGGTGTTGACGATGATGTTCCAGACGGGGTCGAACGGGCCGTAGCAATGTCCAGCATCGAGCAGGTTGCGGTGGTAACCAACCGGCAATCTGGCAAGAGCCTGCAGGTAGAATCCATGGATCGTGTCGAGGAGCACTCGCGTCAGTGACCACGAATGCTGGTAGGTCAGCTTGGCGGCGTGCTTGCGGCAACGGGCAGCAAGTTTCCATGGCCTGACGAGGCTGCCATCAGGAGGAGGATGTGGGAAATGTGCCGTCTCCTTGACCAATGTGTGGAAGCTGTGGAGGATATCGCGGGGGAAATTGGGCTGCACATCCGAGAGCAAGGGGACGACATTGTGGAGGGAGGAGCTGAGCAGCAGCCACACGTCGGCGAGCTGCGAGGGACACGGGTGCTTGGCGGCCACCATGGCGCAGTGGAGGGCCAGCTTGAGGGCGCCGCGGGCGGCGGCGGAGCCTTCGCGGAAGCACCTGACGCCGCGGTACTGGATGACGATGCGCGCGGGGCGCGGCAACGATGGGGTTGGCTTCGGCGAGGAGAAGGTACCTGACGGCCTCCCAATCGGCGAGGTAAGGGAAGAAGCAGGTGAGGAAGGCGACGAGGCCGTCGAGCGAGCGCCGCTCCATGTCCCTGAGCTTGGGCCCGTCCACCGCCGTCGGGTCCGTGTCAACTGGAGCTTCTGCGGCGGCGAGGAGGGTGCTGGCGATTATGTTGGAGACCGGGTCGAGCAGTCCGACACAGACGCCCAAGCAGACGTCGGAGCGCCACCGGAAGGTGAGCCGCCTGAGGGCTTCCGCGTAGTGCTGCCGGATCTTGAGGAGGAGGAGTGACGCTTCCTGATCTCTCTCCTTCATAAGCGGGGCGCCGTAGTCGTGCAGCGCCGGACCGTAGACGCGGAGATGGCCGGTGCTGGCCTTGGCGTTGAGG